GGGTTCTTGTGATAAGCTGCCTTGGATATGATAAATTCCTAAAAAAAGGCAAATGTGTATAGCAATTCCCATGGCCAGATCTGCGATTTTGGAAGCTATAAATCTTTTTTAATAACTTAATAAATAAACAAACCTTTTTTTTAATAATTCAGGGGCCAATGCTTAAATGTATATAACCTCCAATAAATTTCCAACTCTACATACAAAGCTCAAGCATATATCATCAGCCAAAGAATCTTTATTTCCTATCACAAAACACAGTCTCAACTAAACTAAACCCAAACAGTAACAAACAATAACCAAAATGAAACTCTTCAAGCAAAGACAATAATAAATCCCCTCAGGCTATATGTTTCCTCCTTCCCCAGCTTATCTCTCAAATAATTTTCTCGGTTAGTTGGGATCAACAACTCCATGGTGTGAACGAAGGATTCCCTTCCCCATGGGAATGCTAGGAAGGCATCAAGGTCTGTAACCAGTCTCACGTAAGCCAGGGTTGGTCTGTGACACTGATCCCTTGCAATTAACACTCCATCGACAATTAACAGAAAAGCAATTTGCAGCTTCCTCCGGCTAGGCATGTCTGAAGTTTTCTCAAGCAACTCTGCCAAATCAGCTAAGGTTGTCATTGCGCTCCCCCCCCCCCAACTACCTCACGCCAGGCTGGATCTTCTTCAGTTTTTCTATCTCGTTTCTCTTTCCCTGCTACGGTCTTGTAGTCATAATCGAAATCAGTGCCTGGCAAACCCGTGACCTCGCAAAACTCAGAGAGAGAAAATGAAAAGAGTGACCACCGAACACAATCCACATGACATACTTCTTTTTGGTCACCAGTTGTCGACGCAGCAACCCGTGAAGAAGCTTACAGGATACGGGACACATGCTAACCGGAATGTCGAACAGTTTCCCAAAGCATGATCCCCGGATTGTCTCTCACTCCGGATTCCCCTCATGTTGAATTCGGATAAAGCTCAATATATCGGGTTTTGAATACACATAAAGCCGGCCGTTTGGGAACAGGTCTGTGGCGAATAGCCTCCGGGGAAGACGATCATCCCATTGCTCCCTCTCCGCAGCTAGGTTTGGCCCTGCACCACTCAACCAACATGGGCTATCCTTATTCTATCTGGGTTTAATAAAATAAATTCTGATTGGGTTTCTGGGTTTTATGAAAATATTTCGATTTCGGTTTGCTTAGTATCCTTCGTACCTCTCGCTCTCTATTCTTAGTGTTAGTTATAACAATGTGTATGAGGGTTTTGTGTGATTTGGGGGTGGTTTGTGTGATTTAGAGTGTATATACTAAGAAGACGTTTGAAATTCAATTTAACAGCTTCAGCAATTTAATACCTTTTTGTGTATGCAAATGCTCATATAGTGCGCATTTCTGATTCCTCTGCCGTGGTTGCAGATATTGGGGTTTCCATAAAAATCAACTCGAGAATGAAGAGGAAAATAAGTTCAACTTCAACATCAACACAGAGCAGGTCAGGTAAAAGACCATGCAATCTCAAACATAATGATATCCCATGTTGGTTGAGTGGTGCAGGGCCAAACCTAGCTGCAGAGAGGGAGCAATGGGATGGTCTTCCCCGGAGGCTATTCGCCACAGACCTGTTCCCAAACGGCCGGCTTAATGTGTATTCAAAACCTGATATGTTGAGCTTTATCCGAAAACTTGAGGGGACTCCGGAGTGGGAGACAATCTGGGGCTCATGCTTTGGGAAACTGTTCGACATTCTGGTTAGCATGTGTCCCGTATCCTGCAAGCTTCTTCACGGGTTGATGTGTCGACAACTGGTGACCAAAAAGAAGTATGTCATGTGGATTGTGTTTGGTGGTCACCCTTTTCATTTTTCTCTCTCTTAGTTATGCGAGGTCACGGGTTTGCCAGGCACTGATTTCAATTATGACTACAAGCCCGTAACAGGGAAAGAGAAACGAGATAGAAAAACTGAAGAAGATCCAGCGTGGTGTGAGGTAGTTGGGGAAGCGCAATGACAACCTTAGCTGATTTGGCAGAGTTGCTTGAGAAAACTCCAGACATGCCTAGCCGGAGAAAGCTGCAGATTGCTTTTCTGTTAATTGTCGATGGAGTGTTAATTGCAAGGGATCAGTGTCACAGGCCAACCCTTGCTTACGTGAGACTGGTTACAGACCTTGATGACTTCCTAGCATTCCCATGGGGAAGGGAATCATTCGTTCACACTATGGAGTCGTTGATCCCAACTAACCGAGAAGATTATTTGAGAGATAAACTGGGGAAGCAGGAAACGTATAGCTAGAAAATACTCTACAAATCTAGGGTTTCAATTGTGTGCTGAGAAGTTAGGAATGCCAGCACAATTTTTCCTGAGAAGAGGTGGAAAGAATTGATTCAGTGGAAACATGTGAGGCCAACAATTTGCGTCTACGGTTGAGAATGCCTTGCAACATGCAGCTTCAACATTTTCATATTTCCCTGAGAAATTGATCTAGAGATTTCAAGTACACATCCTTCGACACTAAAGAGAGAAGACCAACATTTTACAAGACCAACAGGTGAACCAGGAGAAAAAAATCCAGGAATCTTCAGTGGCTTAAGGAGTTGAGCTTCTCCTTAAGTAACGAAGATAGTAGCACAAAGGATTATGGCTACAATCACTGAGAAAATAGATTGTCTTCCCATCTTTCTTACTAAATGATTATATTTCTTTTGATGGTTTGTTTTTTAGATGCTTAGATGGTTTCGGATATAGGAAGAAACCTAGAATTTATAGATTAGGAAGTAAGAGTTTGTTTAATTAGTAGAAGAGTAACATATAAATAATAAATTTGGTTTCAAAATGTAACTCACGATCCATCCAGGTTCTATGTATTAAATATTCCCACATTAAGTTGAGTTGAAAACTGTAAATCAAGTGTGTTTCTTGTTGATGTTTTGAAACGGGAGATGTGAAAGTTATGAAAGTATTTGACCCACTTACATTCTATAACTTCAAATTTGGTTATTTCATTGAAAACAACTTGAAAACCCTTATTATATTGATTTTAGTCTCACCATTCAATTAAGCAAATTACGAAAACAATGGTCTCTCGCACCTAGTCTTTAGCTCGACTCAGTTTTTAAAGAAATATACTAATATATGAAATATATTTAGTAAAATCACATTTTTGTGAAATTTATTTCCATTTTGGCCAAAGACTGGGAATTGAGTTGATTAGCGACAATAACTTTCTCCTCAAGAAACACACGACTTATGCCCCAAGAACGTTACTAATACTTATTTTGTAATGTGATCAGTCACTAAAAACGCCAATAGTTCTGTCTTTGACACATCCCTATTCTCTAACGGAGAGTCAAAAAAACATTTGTGTACCTTGACCTTGCAATATTTAACACAATCTCTTGGATTCATTTAATCAAATCATATCATTATATCCCTAAAAATATACAACCAAAGACCACATGACTGCATGCTTCTGATTATAGCATTTAGGGAGGGATTATGTAAAAAGAATTACAGTAGTCTAATTTTCTACTCATCAACATTTATATGACATGTGTACATGTACCAGAACATAGTTACCTGGTGACTGATGTGTTAGTTCACATTTTTATTTACGAATTCCATTTAAAAAGACCAACACAACACTTTCTTGAAATAGTATTAAGAATATAGCTTTTTATTTATATTGCCAAGAGAAAAATAGAGTTACTAATTTAGCGCAAATGGATTCTACGAAAACAATTATACTATTTGATTTGACATTACATAAGACTTGGAACATGAATAAAAAGTTTTCTAACGCTAAACGATGGTCCACTTCACCCTCGAGCTTAGTTGTGTGCAGGTAACATGGGAACGATGTGTGCACAATTGTCTTTGATAAGAGGTGGAAAGAAAGGGTTCAAAGGAAACATATGAGGCCAACAGTTAGCATCAATGGTCGAAAATGCTTTACAACATGCGACTCCAACATCTCCAAATTTCCCGGAGAATACTGACTTGTAGAGCTCAAGTACACATCCATGGACGTTAAGGAGAGATGACCAACATTTTTCTATGTCCATTGGAGAATGAGGTGGCTGTTCATGAGCTAGTGCTCCTGGTGGAGTCATGAAACCTGCAACACATAAGACTACAACTAGGACTAAGGTGGCAATAGATCTTAATTTGTTTTCCATTTTCCCTGATATTTGTTTTTGCTTCTTTTCAATTTAATGGTTGTGTGGTTTGGCTATATGAACTTAGTATTTATAGAATAAGAATGGGTTATTAACGTACGTAATTGATTAGACACTTTAGCCAACGGAAGAGACTTAAAGATTATCAAGTAGCCCATGTTATGTAACATGTATTACATTAATTTTTGTTTGACCAAAGTTCATTTGTGTCCAAGATGTTGTAAAACATTTTAAGCACAGTGAAACCTCTATAAATTAAAAATGTTGAGGTTACACTAAAATCGAAATGTATTAGTTTATCGATATACTAATCGAACAAAAAATTCAATTTAGAACTATAAAGCTATATGATTTTATAGAGATATTTAATGTATATTAATTTATCAAGTATCTTATACAATAAAGTTGACTATTCTCCCTTCTTAGGGTGTCCACCTCAGCTTTTGTGAGGGGGGCAAAAAAAGACACCTCAGCAATTATTTTTTTAAATTGAACCCACAAAAATTTTCAATCCCATGTTGGTCTAAATTGGTTTTGCTGTCTTGGTTTGATGTTTGGTGATGGGCTTGGTTTAGGGTGGCCTATAAGCCCAAATTTGAAAGCCTTATGTAAAGGCCTTTTTCTACAGTTCTATTAAATTAAAAACACGTAATTTAAGCGATCGAAAAAACGTAACATATATTATATGTAATTATTATCCAATATTCTGTATTCAAACACCATAACTACGAAAATATTCTTCTTCCACAAACCTCACCCAAACTCTCTATATAACAAACGCAAAACATAGAAAGAAATCGCCAGAAAAATATACCAAATTGGCAGATTCGTAATGCAACGCCGCACAAGAACTCTCGCTCAAATCGAGCTCCTCCCGACAGAACTCCAACAAGAAATCATGTCACGGGATGCTAAGTTCTCAATCGATGCCCTACACAATCTCATTATAGCATCCCCTACTCTAGCCGACGTTGCCGCAGATCCACACGTATACAAGAACATCAATCTCCACACCCTCACAGTCTTTCCTCTCACAACCCTAACCATCTACAAAGATCTGATGGAACGATGCCTTAACGCCGGTAACGTCCAAGCTCACTACATACGTGGGTTACAAGAATATTTCCACCACAACAACATCGCCGCTGGTTTGCCTCATATCAAAATCGCTGCAGAAGGTTTGTACGACAACACCATATACCTTTATGCTCTAATAATGATGTGTAGTGGACAACAAGAAATAGGAAGAACGATGCTCGATTCACTCGGATGGAGAACCAACAAGAAACGTGCCGACACCTGCTGGAGAAACATTAAGAAGTCACTTCATGGCGTCCAAGTTATAACTCTAGACACCACTACGGACGCTTACAGAGAGGCTAGAGAACCAATCACATGTCACCGATACCAGATGCGGGTTCGATGTGAGCACTGCTACTATTACAAGCAGATCTACAAATTTACTTTCACAGTTTAGTAATGTCATCTTTTCCCAATGCTATCATTTCCCTTTTCCCATATTTAAGCAACTACTATTTTTTTCTTACAATACGCGTTTAAAAGACTACGGAACGAGGTTGAAACTCTAAAACCCTACAATATTAACCACCAATTTCACCATTAAAAAATATTCAAACAAACAAAAAAAATACCAACTAAACAATAATTGAAAAAACATCTACAATACTATAAACATTTACGGTCAATCATTCAGAAACATCTATAACTAAAGAATTAAGAACATTGTCATACACAAAATAAAAGGAAAAAAAAAAACCAAACAAAACAATAAATTTAAAATTAAAACCAATAAAAATACTACGTCAACAACGTCGCTGAAACTGAGAGAAATTCGCAGAAGTAGGCTTCCGTCAATACGATTACATCGAATACATTACAAACAACAGTTGCATAATACGAGAACATTACAAAATGAGATTTTTAATAGTTTTAAAAAACATCCAAACCAAAAACATTATATTGACCCCACACCCATTCAAACGTTTGGAGAAAAAAAAATTAAACTTTAAGAAATCCGTAATAATAGAGGAGATAAAATTTAAACACAAACAGCGTAATTTCAAATAAAAAACAGCAACAAATATGAGGATGCATTAAAAACGATAATGTTGACGCTCTTTAACAAAAATCTTCCTCAAAACAGAAACACAGGAAATTAATGGCATGAAATACACAGGTATAAATTACTAATCAAAGTAAATTATAAATATTAAAGACTAGCAAAATCATAAGGAACATAAATAATAAATAGTAACAAAAGACCACCCAGCGTACGTGTAACGGTACAGCAGAAATAATAACAATAAAGCACATACAAATTCAACGCAAGATTATGCCTTATAATAAATTTATATAAAAAACGTAAACGAATTCACACGCAGAGCCACCACCACCGTCCTATATAAACAACTGCAGAACACACAGAAACTAAGAACGACATCGTCAACAGAAAAAAAAAAAACCAAAAAACATTTTCCGACCATTTCCATGACTCACGAACAACAAAATCCCCTCACCCTTGAATCAATACCCAAAGACATGCGTCTCCTAATTGTTTCCAAAGTTGGCCACGACTCTCCCACCGACTACGTCAACACAATTATGACATCCAAAAGCCTCAGCTTCAGTTCTGAAAACTTCATAGTTGCAAAGAATCTAAACCTCTCATCTTTGGTNCTACGTCAACACAATTATGACATCCAAAAGCCTCAGCTTCAGTTCTGAAAACTTCATAGTTGCAAAGAATCTAAACCTCTCATCTTTGGTGAAGAAGCCTGCTCTAGCTCATCGTTACCCAAATTTCCTGCAAAACTGCCTCAACGCTAACAATGCCGACGCTCACTATGTTAAAGGCATGCTAGAATTCTTCAACTCTTGCAATCAGTCTCTAGACCTACATCACATCTACATACCCTCAAATGGTGGTCACCTCCAAGGAAGATACGTTTACGGCGTCCTCCTTATGGTCATCGGAGAAACTGACAAAGGAGTAAAAACCATTAACAAACTCGCTGATGAGCAAGGTATTCCACTGCTAGAAGATTGCATGGCAACTTTTCATAATTCTCTTCAGCACACCCAGTTTGAAATGAAGGATATCTTCCTTACGTCACTAAAAAAAATGTTCCCACCCCATAACTGCCATCCCCAACTGGGGACATATATCATGGTTTGCTCGAACTGTTTCCACTTTTTTTTGGTCACCGAGTTCTACAGAAGGATAATGGGTTTCAGTGATCTATTTGACTAAAAGAAGACTTAGGCTTTTGTTTACCTGCTCAATTTGATTTATTTTTGTACAATTTTGCTTTACGAATAATTGGTTACACTTTGTTTTCACATAAATTTTAAGCAGAAAAACTATAAAAGCTATTTTCTCTTTTCCCTGATCATGATACAATAAAACTTTTACATTGAAATAATGACATCTACGAGTCTAGAATTTTAACTTAAAGTCCAAATGGTAAACATATAACCATTATGCCATCACTTTGATATCATAATCCACTATTCTCATAAACAAACCACATTCAAAAATATAACATTACCCACCAACAAATAAATTTTAAATTTAAATTAATAAAAATATCCAACAACCGCGCTCAGCGCGGACAGACCACTAGTTAATTTATATAGTTATGTTTCTTCCCAATGTTCTTTGTGTGGTCCAATCTAAGTTATGAGAAAACAATATAGTTAACTTCAAATGTTTTTGTTTATTTTATATTGCAAATCTTTGCTTGCTTACAAACAACAAAACAAGAAGTCATCGCCATTATCACTCAGGCCATAATCCAGCCAAAATCAGTTTACAAAGAAACCAAAAAAAAATAATAGAGAAGACAAAGATTCAAATCTTTGATGGTCTTCAGCTACTTATTGCAAAATGCAGAGAGATCTCATACAATAAATAAGGACACAAAACCCAAAAGAGAAGCTTTGAAGAATGAAAACGAAGCTTCTAAGGAGACACTTCTAAACATGGATTCCAAGGGACTTCTTGAACTTCTCTACCTCTAAGTAGACTGTAGAGTAAGGTAAGAACTCAGAGAAGTGATCTCCGCTTAAGTGGTTGATTGCAACAGCGAGTTTCGGGATCTCTAAGGTTTCTTCGTTGGTTAAGGTTCTTATGAATCTTGCTGGATTGCCTCCCCATAGCTCACCTGATGGGATCCTTCTTCCTGGTGGCAAAACCGAACCAGCTTCAAGGATTGAGCGGGTCTCGACCAGTGAACCTTCCATTAGTATTGAGTGTTGCCCTATGATGCATTCTGGTTCGATGGTACATGATCTGAGAAGACTGTATGCACCCACTGTCACGTACCTGTCTATCAACGTCTCTGCTGGTAATCCTGAAAAAACAAAAATAAACAGGCAACCCCAGAATCAGATTATGAACCATCATATCAAAAGCCAGAACTTCAGAAGAAAAGTAGTGTATAATGGTGATACAGAACCAAGACAGGCTCTAGCCTTTGACAAGTAAACCTATAGTAACCTAAGCGTGATTGAATAGATACTATTGGTGTATCTTCAAGTTCAAATACATTTCCACATTGCAGAGAGCCTAATCAAAACAGACTGGTCCGTCTTTCACACTGAATCTTAACTATAACTTTGAGCAAAAAGTTTAAAATAGACGGTAACCCTAGAGATAAAGACTTTAGTGTATAATGGTGATATACTACCACAATATAAATCTATCCCTTGACAAGCAGACCTATAGTAACTGAAACATGATTGAATATATACTGTTGGTGTGTGCTGAAGTCCATATACATTTCCTCATTGCAGAGAGCCTAATTAAAACAGACTGGTCTCTCTTTGACATTGAGACTTACCTCAAACTTAGAGCAAAAAAAAAAGAAAGCTTACAAGTCACGAGTAACCAGGAAACCAAATCCTTTTGCAGAATCATATCAAAAAGTCACAACCTTTACTACGACATTGTTCCATCATGTATCCCCCATACGTATAACTATTCTATTCAACTCTAGATACAAAGCTCATGCACATATCACCAGTAAAGATTCTTCATTTCCAATCACATACACACACAAAATGCTCCATCATGTACTCTACCATACGTACAACTATTCTATTCAACTCTAGATACTACGCTCAAGCACATATACTCAGAAAGACTCTTCATTTCCTATCACATATACACACAAAATGATCCATCATATATCTATCATACGTATAGCTATTCAATTCAACTCTACATACTAAGCTACCTTCATTTCCTATCACATACACACAAAATGAACCATCACGTATAGCAATTCCCATGGCCGGAACTGAGATTTTGGAAGCTATAAATCTTTCTTAATAACTTTAATAAATAAAAAAAACCTTTTTTTAATAGTTCAGGGGCTAATGCTTAAAAATGTATATAACCTCAAATAAATTTCCAACTCTACATACTAAGCTCAAGCACATATCTTCAGTAAAGACTCTTCATTTCCTATCACATACACACACAAAATGATCCATCATGTAGTATAGCAATTCCCATGGCCAGATCTGAGATTTTGGAACCTATAAATCTTTCTTAATAACTTTAATTAAAAAAAAAAACTTTTTTAAAAATAATTTCAGGGGCTAATGCTTAAAATGTATATAACCTCCAATAAATTTCCAACTCTACATACAAAGCTCAAGCACACATCATCAGCCAAAGACTCTTCATTTCCTATAACAAAACACAGTTTAGACTAAACTAAACCCAAACAGTAACAAACAATAACCAAACTGAAACTCTTCAAGCAAAAGACAACAACAAATAAACAATTTTTTTTTAATCAATAAACAAACAAACAACCTGTCGGAGAAGCCCACGCGGCATGAACAACACACCGTTCCTGAACATTAGAGCAAAACCCCAAAGTGATTTTATTCAGATCCCCTCGCAAAACGGCGCCGTTCCAGACTGAAGAGCCGTCCCAGACCGTGACTTGACCTGCCAACACGACGTTTGGCGCCACGTAAGCATCGACGGCTACCTTCGGAAGCCATTGGCCCAAGGGGATGATCTGTCTCTGTCCTCTGTAGTCCCAATTCGCGCGATTAGGGGACGGAGACGGGGTGAGTTTCGGCTTCGGTGGGTCGGGATTCGTCGCGAGTGCTGCGGAAGAGGTGGAGAAACGGCGGATCAGGGTGGGGGTTAGTGTTTTCCGAGAGAACCGAGCTATTGAAGTCGCCATTGGTGTGTGGATTTTTTGGATTCTTCAAAGGATTTGCTGAGACGAAAGAAGCAGAAAATGAGGAGAGAGAGATTCAGGTAAAATTAAACGTGATACGAATTGGGCTTTTAATGGGCCTTAATACAGTAAGTTTAGTTGATTCCTGTAAGGTTGCCTTTGCCGCACGTATAATAGGCCTCGGCACAAACCGGGTACTTAGCTTTTTCGCCCTACATGCTACTTGACTTGCTTTGTGTAAGTATAAGAATTTTCGGCTTGTATTTGTGTTTGTATTTGTTTCGATCAAGTACTTAGTTAATCGAGTACTTGCATATATTTTAGATATTTGTATGCTACTTGATAATACTTGATACTTATTTATATAGATTTGAAACTTTAAAATTAAATGTACCAAAACATATAAATTCAGTTAACCTGGAATAAATACTTTTACTTTTCATATAACTTGTTATTCTCTTTAGTATGTTCGAGTAATTTTATTTAGTATGAGTGTCTGTTTCATTTGTACTAATCATACATTACATAAATATCTAAAAAATAATAAATTTTTTATTTTATTACAATATTAGTAGTAAAACAAGTATTTTAAAAAGTAGTACATATTTTAAAAATCAATAAACAAGTAATAAAACAAGTACCAAGCTAAGTAATAAAAAAACGTAATATTTAATTTGTATTTGCAAGTAATATGATTTGCATACTTAGTATTTGATTTGACACGTCAAGTACTTCATTTTCCAAACTGAGTACGACGAGTCAAATAGTAAATACAAACCGAGTAACAAGTATCGGTGTCCGGTCGAAGCTAATAAGAAGCTTTGGTTATTGATTCGACATTGGTAATATATAGGCCATATTCTCTTTGAAAATGAAGCTAATGGGCCTAATTACTATAACGATTCAGCATGTGTTACAAGAAAAAAAAAAAAAAAAAGATTCAGATGAAACTAAAACGAGACACAAATTCGACTCTAATGGGGCCTAATTACTATAAACCCAATAGAATCAGCGTCGTTTTGTAGATCAGGAAGTTCATATTCTGGTAGGTTGCGTGTGTTGATCGTAAGTATTTCGTTATTGACTAATTTGACAATTCAACGTTGATGAGCAAGCGTTATATGAAACCGGTAAGTTTATTTATACATGAGACTCTTCAAAACCATCACTCATATGGTCCATTAGGTTGAACAAATCCATGATCCACCAACACATGATTCAATCTCGTCAATAATATTTTCTGATGTTAAGGAAAAACAGCTTTAAATTCCTGTCGTAAACGAAATTGATAGAAGAGTAAAAGACAAATCCAACTACAAAAATAAAAATGAAATGAAATCCAGAATGCAATAAAACTCGTGTAATAATGCCCATAAATGTGGACAAAAGAAAATTCCCATTACAATGACGATAACACCCTTTCCGAAATGGGAAACAAATCACTACTTCACGCTGTCATTTGGTCGCAAATCTCGTGGATACAATCGTAAATTACCAAAGACAAAAGTTTCCCAAAATAAAATAAGAAAGAGACGACCCAAAAATTCGCACCCAAAAGCATCGGAATCAAAGAATCCCGATTGCACGTTTTACAGAACATTTCTTTCGCTTTCTCTCATCACTTTCCCTGAGAAAGTAAGAATCTCTCTTCACAAAGTCCTCTCCTTCTCACAAACAATCGAGAAAGAGAGCATCCACGACGGAACTAATCTAATCTAATCCCAAACTTCGTCATCTTCAGTTTTTTTTTTTCAACCCCATTAAACGCGTTTGTGTTGACCTGGTAATACCTTTCTTTATCTGATTCTCAGTGTTATGTTCTTTCTTCGTTTTCTTGATTAGTCTCGATTTCAGAAACCTTTCCTTGTTCGTATTTGTTTATCATTTTTGTAAGCGTTGACGATTCTTTATATATCATCATCATACAGTAGAAAATGGCTAACCAAGACCGGTCATCAAGACGAAGCTTAACCGTCACGACTTCTTCTTTGCACGGAAAGAATAAATCAATGGAGATCGGAGAACGAGGAGGCCTCGACACTGGTCGGAGATCTCTAAACATTTCACGTTCCACTTTGTAAGTCTCTTCTTAGTCTCAATCTTGTATTGTAGACTCCTTTTGTTTATGTATTAGCTTGTTAATGTTGGTTTCTTAGGATATTATTTGAATTACTTTAGGAACAAGTATAGTAAACTAGTCCTTGTTAACACAACTGGAAATGACTCTGGCCAAAGGTTCCGAGTAACCGTTGGGACGAAACTAATATTACATGACGGGACTGGTCCTGAGAATTAAGGGGCCTAAATCGATTTCTTAACAATTTCTTTTTTTTAATGGATTTGGTTTCTTAGGCATATTTGAATTACTTTAGGAACAAGTATAGTAAACTAGTCCTTTGTTAGCAGAGGTCCCTGGTTCGAGTGACCGTTGGGACAGAACTAAGAGCAACGTTATCAATGAGTTCTCAACATAAGTATCTCACAAATTCCAACACAAAATAAAGCAAATGGGAATCTTAAATGTGAGATATCCCCTCAAAAATATCTCACATTTGTGAGGTATTAGAGCATGTTTGTTGCAAGGTTCTTAAGGTAGGGTTCTTAGCGGAATTAAGAAACCGTCTCTTAACTTTCAACTAAAAAAAGCTAAGAACCGGCTCTTAATTCCGGTTCTTAGCTTTTTTAGATGAAAGTTAAGAGACGGTTTCTTAATTCCGCTAAGAACCTTGCAATAAACATTCTCTTAGGGTTGAAAACCATTGATAATGATGCTCTATGATATTACATGTTGTAGTTTCTAGCCTGAGTATATTTGAGCTTTGGCTCAAAACCTCTTTGGATTAAAAGGACAAAAAAATAAAGTAGTCCTAGTTGTTGTTGTTGTCTCTTTTCGTTGAAGTTATTGTTATTTTCTGTTTGGAGCAGGGGTTTAACGGGAGGGGAGAGGACTGTTAAACGTTTAAGACTATCGAAAGCTCTTACTGTTCCCGCAACAACGACTATATATGACGCTTGTAAAAGGATGGCTTCTCGCAAAGTTGATGCCTTGTTGTTGACTGACTCTAACGAAATGCTTTGTGGCATTCTTACTGACAAGGTAATGTTACTATTACTCTTTGCGCCAAGCTAACAGTATGCTTCATTATATGAATCATTTTTGTGTTTTTGTTACAGGACATAGCTACAAGAGTGATCTCACAGGAGATTAATGTAGAGGAAACACCTGTTTCCAAGGTTATGACTAGGAACCCAATGTTTGTTCTTTCTGAAACACTTGCTGTTGAAGCTCTCCAAAAGATGGTCCTAGGTTTGTGGTGTTTTTTGCCTTTAAAGTAAAGAAACCTGATGTCTTTTTCATTCTAAATTCTTGTGTATATATTAACCCTGCAGGTAAATTCAGACATCTACCTGTTGTTGAAAATGGTGAAGTGATTGCTTTGTTAGATATAGCAAAGTGTCTGTACGATGCAATTGCTCGTATGGAGAGAGCAGCTGAGAAAGGTAAGGCCATTGCTGCTGCTGTTGAAGGTGTTGAAAGAAGTTGGGGAACAAACACTTCAGGTGTGCGAGGAACTGAACTTTTTTTACTACTCACACATCTCATTTTTTATTTTGGCTTCTTATTGATTTTTTTTTTTTTTTAGCTCCTAACAACTTCATTGAAACGCTACGAGACCGGATGTTTAGACCTTCTTTATCAACACTTATACCAGATGATTCAAAGTAGGTAATCTCTTCCTTTTTTTTTCTAATTAGATTCTTATTACAACGTTCTTGAGTGGTTTAAGTTGACAATGGTTGTTTGTTCAGGGTTTTGAAAGTCTCACCAGAGGATACAGTGTTGACTGTAGCAAAGAAAATGGTTGAACTTCAACTAAGCTGTGCAGTTGTGATGGTTGACGACAAGCTTCGAGGGATCTTTACGTGAGTTCTCCCACCTTCCCTTCAGATACTATAATATTAGCCAGCTGATAGAAAGAAGGATATAGTTTATTGGAGTGTTCTGTTTAATTGTGTATTTATTTGCATTCTTGACTCTAAGTAACATACTAACTAGATTATGCAGTGACTGAACTCTCTTGTCTTCCTTTGTTTCTCATTTGTATAGTTCTAAGGATATACTGATGCGGGTTGTTGCTGAGAATCTTCCTCCATCTGAGACTACAGTGGAACAGGTAGGATTAAGAGATTAGTCTCCTTTTCAGGCTTATGTATTATTCAAGTTTCTAGGTTAATCGTTTATTCTTATTCGTGAATGCTTAGGTTATGACTGAGAATCCAGAATCTACGACAGTTGACACACCAATAGTTGAAGCTCTGCACATCATGCACGAGGGGAAGTTTTTACACCTTCCTGTTACAGACAAAGGTAAAAAATCTTGTTACATGTTAGAAGTCTTATGAAGACTAACTGTTTGTAAATAACAAAAGGGTTTTCATGATTTGCAGAAGGAGATGTAGTTGCAGTTGTTGATGTAATCCATGTAACTCACGCTGCTGTCGCCACAGTAAGTCTAATATCTTTAAACTTCTCACTGTTCACTTGTTTTTAGAGACGTCTTTTTAGTAATGTTGTTAATTTTTGATGTGTGATCAGGCTGGAAATACTGCTGGAATAGGTAATGAGGAGACAAACACAATGATGCAAAAGTTTTGGGATTCAGCAATGGAGTTATCTCCTAATGAGGAAGATGAGGACACGAGAAGGTATTATTTACCCTGACTTAAACTTGTTTTCTTTTTTTTCTAACTGAGTTTTGTTTTTGCTGACTTTGTTGGGAACAATTGTTTTCAGTGAGAGCTCCTTGAAAGTTGCTTCTGAAGCTGAGACAGGGAAATCATTCCCTTTAGCAAATACATTTTCTTTCAAGATTGAAGACAAAAACCACAGAATGCACAGATTCATAAGCGGTAAGCAAGGAAGCAAGCAAAACAGTTTTAATCTTGTGTGTGTGTGTGTGTACTCACATGGATTTGTTCTTTAAATTGCAGACACTCGTAGTTTGACAGAAGTGGTAACAGCGATTCTTCAGAGAGTAGGGAGTGATAGTGATCCAGACAACATACCACAAATTTTTGTACGTATATATAAACTTCTTCTAGTGTCAATGATGGAATCCTTTTTTTTTTTCATCTCCCCTGAAAATGTTGGAATGATGTTTTATAATTTGCAGTATGAAGATGAAGACCATGATAAAGTGTTGTTGGCTTCAGATAGTGATCTTCAAGCAGCTATAGACCATGCTAAATCAATTGGCTGGAAGGTAAAGTGAAGAACATTAAGAAACACAGACAATAATGTATCTGAATTGATTGGATGATTTATATGAATTGCAGAGTCTGAGATTATATTTGGATGATTCAAAAGGAGGAAGAAGAAGAAGAGCAATAGTATCAGGAGAAGCAGTGGAGTATGTACAGACAGACGCTTGGGCTGCTGCTTACAGTGGAGTTGCAGCTGGTGCAGCTTTAGTAGCTGGTCTTGGTTTTATGGCTTATCTCAAGAGAGCCGGACAGTGACGACACCTCAGAAAAACAAAGCAAATTCTTTTTACAGATTGATGACACAAACAAAAAAGTGTGTGATGCAATTGAAAAGTTTGAAGATTTTTTCTGAAGTATTAATATACAAAGTCATGTTTGAGATTTTTCTTCTAGCTTTTCATTTTTTTGGTATAAAACTAACTCATCAAATGAGGAATTCAAGAACAAATGCTTAGAATCTTCTATAAACTGATCACACCATTGCAAGAAAAAGACATACTCAAACAGAACAAGGGCTTTGCCATGTACCGCCATCAGTTATAAGGTTCTCCAAACTTGTTGATAAGTTCTTTGACATGAACATTCTTGTGTTGCAATCTCTTGCCATTCACGAACGTTAAACACTTTAAACCAGAATAAATAAGATAACGAGACTATTAAACCTATTTTTCATGGTTCTAGGCTTCTAGCTAGGCCTGGGATTTTGTCCGAACTGAATGGGCCAAATCGAACCGGACCAAACCGTTTTTTTTAGTTTTCGGTTCGGTTTTCAATTTGGTTCACTTCGGCATAGTTTTAAAAATTAATTTGGTTTTCTGTTCGGTTCAGTTTTCGATTTTCAAAAGAAAAAATTAAAGCCGAAAATATCCAAAAATAACCAACAAACCGAACCGAAAATAACCGAATAATCCAAAATAATCGAATTTAACCGAAATAACCGAATTTAACCAAAAATATCCAAATATTTTGGAAAAATTATACCAAAGTTAACCAAAAATTTAAAAATTCGATTATTTTTGGAAATAAAATTGAAAACCGAACCGAACCGAACCAAAATTGCATTCGGTTTATTTTAGAATTGGTTTTAGAAACTTCAGTTAACTGAAAACAGATGGTTCGATTCGGTTCGATTTCGGAAAAGCCTACTTCTAGCACCTGCTTAAACTATCTTCTTCTCAATCACAATGAGCCCTTCGTCACGACGTCGTTTTCACAAATTATTACCCACTCTCTCCAACACAATGTAAACGATTCAACACGGCGTCGTTTTGCAAGTCTATAAAACAAACAATAACAATAATAATCAGCTACATCGCTACCCACCTTATCCACCTATTTGACCTAAAAAAACCCTAAACGCTTCTTTTCACCCATAGATCCAATGGACGACAACAACAACCAGCAACCACCACCCACCTCCGCCGTAATCCCTCCTCCTCCTCCAGGATCCATCCCCGGAGGAGGAACCCCATTCCACTACCACCACCCCCTCCACCAGCAACAACTCCAACAACTCAAAACCTTCTGGGCCCACCAACGAACCGAAATCGAAAACTCCAACGACTTCAAGAACCACCAGCTCCCCTTAGCACGCATCAAGAAGATCATGAAAGCCGACGAAGACGTCCGCATGATCTCCGCCGAGGCGCCAATTCTCTTCGCCAAGGCGTGCGAGCTTTTCATCCTCGAGCTCACCATCAGATCCTGGCTCCACGCCGAGGAGAACAAGCGCAGGACGCTTCAGAAGAACGACATCGCCGCGGCGATCACAAGAACTGAAATTTTTGATTTCTTGGTTGATATTGTGCCGAGGGAGGAGGTTAAGGAGGAGGAGGAGGGGGGAGAGGTGGGGTTGGGAGGTGTGGTGGTTGGGAATGTTCCTTATTATTATAATGCTCAGATGATGGGGGGCCAGCAGCAGCAGCCTGTGGGGATGGGGATGATGGGTGGGGGAGGAGTTTATGGGCAGGTTGCTCCGTCTCAGGCGTGGCAGAGTGTTTGGCAGAATAATGGTGGTGATGATGTTTCTTATGGGAGTGGTGGAGGAAGTGGAAATGTTGATCATCAAGGGTTAGTTTAGTTTACATTTTTTTTCTAATCAAACTAAAGATTACATTTTTCTTAATACCCATGTCTTTAGTTTGAGGAGGAAGTGGAAATGTTGATCATAAGGGTTAGTTTAGTTTACATTTTTTTCTAATCAAACTAAAGATTACATTTTTCTTAATACCCATCTCTTTAATTTGAGAAAATGTTTGTTGAATTGGAAGAGATGGTTATTAATGCAATGACATTTACATCAATGCTTACTGTAGTTTACTAATCAACTAAAGATCACATTTTTCTTAATATCCATGTCTTTAATTTGAGAAAATGTTTGTTAATACAATGACATTTACATTAAGGGTTAGTGTAGTTTACTAATCAAACTAAATATTAGATTTTCTTAATACCCATGTCTTTAATTTGAGGAAATGTTTCATTGAATTTGAAGAGATGTTTGTTAATACAATGACAGTTACATTAAGGGTTAGTGTAGTTTACTAATCAAACTAAAGATTAGATTTTTCTTAATACCCATGTCTTTAATTTGAGGAAATGTTTCATTGAATTTGAAAAGATGTTTATCAGGACAATGATAGTTACATCAAGGGTTAGTGTAGTTACTTATAAACTAAAGATTAGATTTTTCTTAATACCCATGTCTGTTAATATGAGAAAATGTTTATTGAATTTGAAGAGGTGGTCATCAATACAATGACATTTACATCAAGAGTTAGTGTAGTTACAAAGATTACATTTTTCTTAATACCCATGTCTTTAATTTTGCTATTACTAATGTTGAAATTTCTTCATTGCTTAGCTGAGGTACTTCATTTATTCATTTAATCAGCTTCATTGCTGAGTTACTCTCTATAGACTTTGTAAAGTCTGTTCATTTATTCAGCTTCATAGCTTTATTCAACTTTTTTTTTATCAATGTTGTGCAGGTGAGAGAGCTTGGAAAGATTTTCAGATGCTGCTTTTTTCTTCAAACCAGAAGCTGTTGCATGTGTCTGATTCGTATGTCTGAGAGAAGAGAGACAACAACAAAACACTCTTTTCATTCTATTCCCTTGTTAACTTATATTGCAGCAAAACTGCAGACTTGTTTAACTATCTAATCGTAATGTGCAGATTCTAATTTATGTTTTTTTATTCTACTCTTGCTTCTTGTTAATGAATTGAATACATTTGAGGAGGACATGGAGTTTTTTCTTTGTTTCTTTTATGGTTGACGAGTTTTAGAGCTCGTAAAACGTATATTGAGCATTGGATTGTATAAATAAGCTTGTCTGCATGGTGAAAATTCGTGCAGTTTTGTGCTCAGTTTTTTTATGTTTTGCTGTTTAGTTCATTTCTAGGAGCATCTCCAAAAGACACTCTATAACTTCAGATATGAAGTTTTTATCTCTTCAAAAAGGAACTTTAAAATTTCAAATTTGAAGTTTTGAGTAGTGAAACTTCAAATATAGAGCGTCACTATTCAAAACTTCAAATTTGAAATTTCATATTTTATTTGCATTTTGGTCCTTACAATTTCACATCATATTTATAATAATTTTCAATATTTTATTTTTATCATGTTAATCCTTAAAAATTCTTATTTCATAAATAATTCAAAATTATTTTTCTAGATTTAAGTTTTCTATATATTTTTTTTTAAAAAACATCAAGATAATCTTTAAAATATTTTAAAACTAGAACTAGACAACAACAATATTACATGCTATAATATGGTATTTTGTTTGTACTTTAATATTTAATTATATATTTCTGTTTAGAGTTTTATATTTTAGTGTAATATTTTATCAAAAAATATTTTTATAATATTTTAATACATGATAGTTATTTAAAAAAGTTTTATGAACTTGAATTAGTTATGACAAATATAAGAACCATTTCATAAAATACAAATAGTTTTAAAGTTAGGTTTGAAGTTTTATTTTTGGAGTATAATATCTTTAAACTTTAAATATAGAGTTTTATAAACTCTATAATAGATAGTCTTTTTGGAGATGCTCTAATTACATGATGTTTGGTTTGGTAGTGAATTGTCGGGGCTCTGTTGTACGTTTCATAGTACAATTGTTGTTCTAATCTAATTTCATAGTGTTGGGGGGTACGAATATGATTTTGATAAAAGTTGTTGAAAATTTGGTAATTGCAATCAAATTACAGACACATGGAATTGGAAATGAATATCATAGAGCCCGACATAAAATTAAATATTTTAAGGCCCATATAAAATAATAATAATGTATTAAGGCCCAAAATGGATACATATATAAGTTCTCCACTATATGATGTTGCTACGGTAGTTTTAATCTTCTCTGGTTGAGAAACTTTGTCTGGTCTCTTGCAGGATGAGCTTATTGCGCGTCTGAAGAATGCAAACTGAAGATTGAGAAAACGCTCTGGTGAATGTATATGTTACCTTTAGGGGTTTTTTTGGATAGGCAAAAACGTTATGAAAACATTGTTGTTATCAGAAAATATTATGGTGCTAAATTATGAATCTTGGCTTTGGTTTGGTTTTGAGATGTGTCATCAAAGTACTAGTGACTTTTTGTAACATTGATTAACATGATTAAAGGGAAGTTTGTCGTATTTGTGCTGATGTCTACTACAACATATTATAATGATTAGTAGTTTAATACTCATAAAGTAAATAGTACTGAGATAGTAATGTGTGTAAATTGGACTGTGGAGAAGATAATAAAATATTGAGCAAAGAAGAATAAGGCAAAACAAAATTTGACCCGCAAGTAAGAAGTGTGATCCTCCAAATAGATGTTTTTTAACTTTTTATTCAAGTTGTGTTTATCCTCCAAAACTTTTCTCAAAATAAATACTTTATATACAAATAGATTTAGTAAAAAATTTGAAAAACTAGATTTAGTAATTATTTAAGATTGTTATTGCTTATTTTTCTCGATTAGTGTTAACGATTTAGGATTTATATTCTAAATTATTTTGTTAATTCAGAAAAAAAAAATTAGCTATTTATTGATTTGATATAAGATTTGGTCTATTTTCTTTACTCTTAGTTTTTTTTTGTATCCAAATGTTATTCGAGTAAACGTCTATTTGCAGCATCATAAGTCAAACGTTTGGCTAGTTTAAATTTAAAACGCGTGAAACTCAAAACCATGAGCCTCTTTGGACGGTGAAAATGACAAAATGAAATTGTGAGATCGAAAAATAAAGAGAACACACTTTGATTATATATTTTATAGTGGCAATTCTTTTTTGGTATTCGTCGTTCATGAAGAAAAATAATTGTCTGTCAAATCAAAGCAAGTAGATAGTGATCTTGCGAGATATTTATGGTCATCGCTTTTCCTAATTAATGGAGGAGACTTGTCGTAATGGATATGAAATTACTGGACCCAATCACCAAACCGGCGCCGTTTTCTTGTCACAATGTGAGCTAGTGGCTGACATCAATCTCCCCATATTTTGCATGTGAGTTTTGTTAATGGGGTTTAGGTTTTCATATTTCACATACAAAACTTCATGCATCGTTTTCATACCATATACAGTACCAAAAAATATTAATTGTGTAAGAGAAAATGAAAATGTAAGAAACTTATTGTCAACAAAATTAATGTAGGGAAATAATACTATGTTTTGCTGATTTTCTTACTATTGTTTAGTTGTTAATCTCTTTCAAATACGAATTAAGTTCATGAAATAACAGTAGATGTGTGTTTGAATGAATAAGAAAAATATGATTATCAAAAACCTAAAAGTCAAATTTAGATGAGTGAGGAGAGAGAGAGAGAAAGACTTTACTATCATGCGGATGATTTTGAGAAACACGAGCTTGAAAAGAAGTCAGTGGAACTAGTTCCGACTTTTCTTATTTTTAGTTTTTTTTTTTGGTCTTATTTTAAGTTTATTTTATAGTTCTGACTTTTTCTTGATGAGATAAACTCAGTTTTCGAAAACACGAGAACCACGAGCACAAACAAAGTAGTGAGCTCGATGACTAAGTCACACTTTTTCTTACTGTTTTTCGTCATCCAGTTCAATAATATCTTTCAATTATTTGTTTTTTTTGATAAAAAAGTTATTTAGATTTGTCATCCAGTATTTAGATTTGTTTTTTTTTTGGCTGAGGATTTTCATCAACGTGCTTGATCTTATCCGACACATCCATGTTTATATTGGCGTCTACTCGAACAGTGAAACCTACACTCTTGTCCAAATTATTTCGTGATAACTGTAAAATCCCTATCTAAATACTACTACCTCCATTCTTTCAAAATAGGTTTTTATTATTTTTATACATATTAAAACGCACATTAAATCGCTTTTATAAATATATGATTTTTTCGTAATTATCAATTTTTAATAACTTTTAGTTAGTAATAATTTAAGAAACATATTTTTTTGAAATTTACAATTTCTACATAAGACACTTAGAACATCTATACTTGTAAAACAATTCTTTTTTTGCTAAAACATTTATTTTAGTGGAACAAGGGAGTATTTGTGAAAGAGGAAGTTCTAGTATGGTTAAAAGTATGCCATTAGCTATGATGAGAACCCTATGATTGTGTGTTCAGTTTCGGGTCCGAGTTTCTCCTAGATAGAGAACCTCCACTCATTTAAATACTATACACTGCACAGACCAGTCCCACTATGTACTAAACAAATGTTTATTGCATATAATATAGGTCCCTATAATATAACTATATATTTGATATTTAATTTCCTTCATTCAACAAATCTACAGGATATCCTAAGAATCAAAGTTCATTTTTGACAAAACTGACAGATCATTGATTAATATCATCACGTAGTATTAATCCAGTGTGGTAAAATGATTTCGCTATTATTTTCTAATTACATGTTTCCTGTAAATACATGCAATCAACAACCTTATAATTACCACGTAAAATTAATTATTCTTTTGGCATCAAATATATATTAGACACTATAACTTGAGACTTGAGGGACACCACTAATATCATTTGACAGAATTAGAAACTACTAAAATTAAACTTGTAACATATTTGATCACTATTCGTTAATTAGTATAGGAAAAAAAAAATCTGGAAAACAAATTAAACGTTTTGCATTTTCAGTGTCCGATGCGTGTCTATATTTTCTTATGAAATTTGGGCTGGATATCTGACCACCAGTGCTGAGGGTACTGGCTTGTCCTTGTCCTTGTCCACATCTGTAATATTATTTATTTCCTTTTGGATCAATGAGTGATTGTATTGCTGCGTCGACGTCTATGAATACGTGGTTCAATACTTTCTTTATCAGCTTACACGTTTGACAACAAAATAAACGAGTGTACACATTTTCTATCTTCATTATATTCTTTTGGAAGTGGCATAAATAAGATAAAGAAAATCTGCGTAAAATATGGTAAAGAAAAATAATCGAGCGGGCTCCACTTCTACTTATACAACTTGTTTATGTTAATCGATACAAGGGTTAGGGGAGCTGGGGAGGATCTACTTTGTCAAGTGTTTGATGCCCCCATTTTCATTATTATAGATAATAGATAGCTAGATATGTTGGAACCCAAATTTATAAGTCATTGGGCTGTGTAAATTTATGTTGTAATGTGAAGAGAAATATGGATCAAATGTCTTTTGGGCTCAAACTAAAAAGCCTTTCATTTGAATTGCAAGAGTAAAAAGAATAATTCCAGGAATATGCCGGAATAATTCCAGGAATATACCGGAATAATTCTAGGAATATACCGGAATAATTCCAAGAATATACCGGAATAATTCCAGGAATATACCGGAATAATTCAAGGAATATACCGGAATAATTCCATGAATATTCTTTATTCTAGGCGAACCTTTNATTACGGGCGATTTATTGAGTTAAGGAAAGAGATCAAATCTCGACTCCACGAATTCGTCTATTTCCTTAACGATTTCTTAAACGTTTTCTCCGTCTCATCTTATCGTTATACGATTTCTTAAACGTTTTTTCCGTCTCATCTTATCGTTATACGAATTCTATTTCGTGATTTTCAATCAGGATTTTCGCGGTCCTACAATCTTAACTCAATAAATCCGCTTTCTGCTTATCGCTTAAATCGGATTGAATATTGCGAACAATATTTATGAAAAACGGTTTTATAAAACGTTTCTAAAAACAGATCTGAAACGATTTGAGAACGCTTTTTAGCTATTCTGCAAAACGCTTTGATCAACTTAGACGAATCGTTCTAGAAAACGATTTACGCGACAGTCTCTGACAGGTTCGCGATCTCGTTTTCTGTTTACATAAAACGAAATTTATTACTAAAAATAGTGTTTAAGAACGTCTTTACGACGAGTTC